TTTGGGGGTTAAGGGTTTAGGGTCTAGGGTCCAGGGTTTAGGGTTTGAGGGTTTAGGGGTTTAGGGTCAGGGGTTTAGGGGTTTAGGGGTTAAGGGTTTAGGGTTTAGGGTCTAGGGTCTAGGGGTTAGGGTTTAGGGTTTGAAGGTTTAGGGGTCTAGGGTCTAGGGTTTAGGGGTTTAGGGGTTAAGGGTTTAGGGTCTGGGGTCTAGGGGTTAGGGTTTAGGGTTTGAGGGTTTAGGGGTTTAGGGTCTCGGGTTTAGGGGTTTAGGGGTTTAGGGGTTGAAGGTTTAGGGTTTAGGGTCTAGGGTCTAGGGTTTAGGGTTTAGGGTTTGAGGGTTTAGGGGTTTAGGGTCTAGGGTTTAGGGGTTTAGGGGTTTAGGGGTTTAGGGGTTAAGGGTCTAGGGTCTAGGGTTTAGGGCTTAGGGGCTCGTTGCCCCATTGCAGTCTTCAGTTCGTGGTATGAAGGCACTTCAATGTCAAGCCTGCCATATGGGTCGTCACCTTCTTGCTGGTAGGTGGCCAGGAACGCAACATGTGCAAGCAGCCAGCCCTCCAGCTGGGCATATGTAGCCGACGCAATAGGCCATACCTCGCGCATTGTGGGGTGTCCTGTGGTCAGCGCCTGCAGAACCTCTGACTGGCTCAAAAGCAATGCAGGGCTGTGGTCATGTTCTTGTCGCACAGCCCGCGACAGGCTGGCCTTCAGCCGCATCTTGCACCAGCTGCCAGTAGGCGCAGGCTTGCACTAGCGCTGGCTGTAGGCCTGGATCCGCCTCCATTGCACAGGTGGTTTCGAAACAAGAGTGCGGCCTGCAGCCAGTGCTGTGTTCGACCACAACACGGTGGGAGTGCTACACAGGATGTGCCTGCGTATGTTGACCAGTATGCATGTGGCACTGGGCCGCTGAGGACGCAGTATGTGCAGCCGGAGGACCACGGCAAACACTGTCTTGTGGAGCAACTTGAGGGCTTAGGGTTTAGGGCTTAGGGTGTAGGGTCTAGGGTTTAGGGTTAAGCCTATTTTGGGGGCTTAGGATTGGACAGCAGGAATTCGGGGGTTCTGCTTGGGAGGGTTTAAATTAGGGTTTGCAGGGTTTAGGTTTGCTTCGCAGAGGGTTCGGCTCAACCAGGCATGCATCGTTACCCAGGCATCTTCTTTAAAGTAAGGCACCTATAGTACCCTTACCCTGATACTCCTGTGGCTCAGCGCTCTAAGCCTCAAGGGGATATATGCATTACGAAAAACAAGCGGTTGTGAACTTAGCTACGAAGGGCCCTATATGCCCTAAATTACTAAAGCTTACAAACCCGACGACCTCGAACCTTACTCTTAAAACGCTCTCGACCATTAACTCTAAACCTACTATTTGCTTAAGAACCCCCAAAAAATAAAATATATATATATATATATATATATATATATATATATATTATATTATATATATATATATATATATATATATTCCTTATGGTGGTAAGATAGGGATTATTATTTGTATTTTTTGGGGGTTTCTTAAGCAAATAGTAGAAACCTCTAAACCCTCATAGCACCTGAGCCCTCAAATCCAAAACTTCACCCTTCGAGCCGACCCTCGGCATCGGGGCTAGACTGCTACTTGGAGGTTCAGGGGTAGTTATACCTGTAGTCTCCATGGTAGTTCCTTTTTGGGGTTACCTCTAGGATCCTTAATATATAACTGGCTAAACCCCAAAATAAGAACCACAATGGAGACCATAGGTAAGTGGGGATATAAGTCCCCTAATCTGGGTTATAAGTCTAGTTACCCTGCTGAACCTCTAGGCTGTTCAGTAACCCACTGGGAAAATTTATATACTCTTTTAGGCTTCTTATTTTGTAATACGAACCCAGAAACCTGAAAGTAAAAAAGTGTACCACTGAACAGCCTGAACCTCCACTGGGAGGTGCCTCTAAAGTCATTGAAAAATATTAGTAGGTAATTAAGATTCTCTTAAGCCCAATAGGAGCAAATATAAAATGTCCCAAAGCCCTACCTGGTCCAAGTACAAGCATAGTCACTCATCTGGGAGCTCCCGGAAGCTAGAAGCCCGAATCTGGATCATCAAGGACATGAGAGTTTCAGAAAATGGGGGACCCTAATACAGTACCCTAATAGTAGGATCCTTATTACAAGGACCCCAAAGTAAGGTGCATCTAATCTTCGAGAAAAAACTCCCATAGTTGCAGGACCCTTACCGTAAAGAAGTCTAGAGAAGGTTCTCGTGATCTGCTGAAAAGCCTCGTATAAGCCCTACCTGAACCCCAAATAACCTACCTTTGTAGGGTTCCGAAATAATATTTCTTTATACAAGTCCTTAAAAAGGTAGGTCATTTGGGGTTAAGGTAGATCCTGAACCCGAGCCTCTCTTAGAAGCCGGCGGAGCTCTGCTGACGGATCCTGCCGGACTTGCGTCCGCAGGGAAAATCACAAATTAACATACCACGTTAACAGGAAACATCCAGGTAATAAAACCCTGCATAACGTACGGCACAGGTTCTTCTCATTATCAGTACTGGCATTTTAGAACTATGATTATAGCAAATAAGATTGCATTATGATACTACTGTTGTTACTGCTGTTTCTTACCAGTGCTGTTGAAACTGTTCTGCGGCTGAGGGTTCAACCTTGCGGTCCGGAACATTGGGTTTCGCCTAAACCCTAAACCATAGAGTGGGGACTAGTCTGGGAGATGAGCCAGGTTTGGCTTCAAAACCCACACGCAAACTCTGAGTGCATGTGGTAACCCTAAACCTACCTTAAGGACCAAAAGACCCTTAGTAAGGGTCCTATCCCCTTACTACTATGAATCACAATATGGTATATGGGTGGTTGCCAAAATTATGGTACCTTTTTGTGTCTTTGTTATAATACGGCACCCAGTATTTAGGGTACCCAAAAGGGGGCCATAATTTTGACGTCCCGAAGGCACACACAAACCCGAAAGTACTATAGGGACCTGAATAATTAGACTAGTTTTTTCGGGCCTACTATACTATAGTTCTACAAAGGGACCCCCAAAATAGTATAGGTAATCGTAAAGGCAAGCGAGAGAGAGATACCCCTGTAAAGCCTGAAAGTACCAAGAATGATCATGCAACAGGCGACATCTACCTGGCTTTAGAGTCAGAGCCTTCTTGCTCAAATACATCGGTTACTCTAGCCCTGGGGCCAAAAGCCGTATATAGTATGGTCTCTGGGCCCAGAAGCCTTAATAAATATGAGTCCCTAGATCCCTCGGGTAGGTAAACCCAAACCTCTGAAGGCTCACCTCGGTTGTGGGCTTCAACGGCACGAGGGTCTCCACCACGTCCGGTTGCGCCCGCGTGACAGGCGGCCCTAAGAGGGCTGTATAGAATTTAGGTCGAAGGTTTCAGGGTTTAGCGTTATAGACTTCAGGGTTTGAGTTTGAGGCTAGGCTATGGGGTTTTTTGGGCTGAGGGCTTAAAGCTTAGAGGCTTCGGGTTTGGCAATTGCTTAGGGACTTTGCTGAGATGTGTAGACTAGACCCAAGAGTAACCTAGGAATAAAAAGGGTGCCCTTTTTGGTTTAAAGGGGCTTATAAGGGAACCTGAACCCTACAAAAAGGGAATAAGGACCTACTCTAGGTCCTAGTAGAAGTGTCTGAATAGGTGGGATGAGGGCGATCAGGATTGGGGATTGTTGGCTGGCGATAAACAGAAGCAATTCCCGTATGTCCGGGGGTTTAAACTGGCCCCCTAAACCCTGAACTCACCCTAAACCCGAAACCCTAATGTAGGAACCTGCTTACTTGGAGGGTCGGGGGACTTAGTAACTGGTTATTTTAGGGATTTATAAGTACCATAACCCCAATTAGGGTCCCTTTTAGGGTACTTATAAGTCTACTTATTACCTACTTACTAAGTCCCCCGACCCTCCAAGTAGGAAACCCCCTACCCCGTTGGGAGACTATGGGAGACTTGCTGTTCAACTGCTCGGCTCGTCAACGTGCGGGGTCTTTGAACAGATGAATTTCTTGGTGTTTGCAGGTCTTGGTGAACATGTGCCGTGCTGCGTGATACAGATTCCCTAAAACCTAAACCCTAAACCCCTAAACCCCTAAACCCTAAACCCTGAACCCTGAACCCTAAACCCCTAAACCCTAAACCCTAAACCCCTAAACCCCTAAACCCTAAACCCCTAAACCCTAAACCTTAAACCCCTAAACCCCTAAACCCTAAACCCTAAACCCCTAAACCCTAAACCCTAAAACCCTAAACCCTGAACTTACAGGGTCTGCTCTTGAGCAAGCGACAAAGTTTGGCAGGTTTGATGCCGATGTGATTGAGTAACTGTGTGCTAAGCCTAACGCCAAACAAAGACACTAAAATTAAACCCCTTATAAGCCCCGAACGATAAGCCCTGAACACCCAACCCTAGGCCCTAGACCCTGAACCTCTAAATCTCAAACGATCCTAAAACCCCTGAGACCCCAAACCCCCCAAACGATGAGCCCAACCTAGAACCCCCAACTGCCCTTTACTGTAGTCCCTAATTACCTCTTAATGAACAATATTTGAGCTCTTTAAAGGTACTTGGGGGGGTGCTGGGAAACCTGCAACATTCCATGGCCTTTCGGTTGGGGAGGCCCTGCTGCACGCCGACGGAGGGACGAGACATCCTGGAGCAGGGAAGAGGGCTTAGGGCACCTACTTCTAACTAGGATATATATATATATATATATATATATATATATATATATACTTGTAGTACTATGCTTAAGATACTCGTTTAGATCATATCATACAATACAAGATCTACTATGGCATGATATTCCGTATTGGGGGAGGAACTGCACTGAATCCCCGGGGGTCTGCTGCCAATTTTCCTGCGGAATGATTGCATTGACTGCACAAGCAGCACTAGCAACTAACTGCAAAATCGGGCGAGGCGTTTGCTTCGCCGAACTCAGTCGTCTCAGCTTTTCTCCGAGATCTGATCTGGTAGCATCTCTATGGGCATCAGCTACTATGAGGCTTCCATCCCTTCGCCCAGGGCGTTTTCACTGACCAAACCAAGCCACACTTCTCCATCGCAGCATAGGTGCAGTAAGACCAGTCGTGGTACCACGGGCCGTAGACCGCATAGATGGGGTTTGCGTGGTGCTGGTCATGGTCCGACTCGCTCCCCGCGAGCCACCAGTACCACCACCTAGGTGGGCGGTTGTCAAAATTAGGGCCCTACATATTCTAGGTTGGCCCTTTAAAGCCTCTGACAAATCTTCGTAAATAGGGTCCTATCAACCCCAATAAGGGAAATGCCCCAAAGGCCTACCCAGTACTAGATCAGGGACCCAAAGCGGGACCATAATTTTGACAACTACCCCGGTGGATCCGAAAATGCCTCCGAACCATATTCCTGCAGACCCAAAAACCCATAATAGCAAGGGCCCTAGCCCGTTGTACTCTGAATCCCTATATGGTATATGAACCCTAGAACCTTAACCGTTAGGGTTCATGTCGTCCCGAAGGTTCATAATCAACCAGGGAGACAAAAAGAGTCGCACTGATTTGGCCTAGGGACCTATGTGTGGACATGCATGGGCCGAGGCCTTCTTGCTCAGCTGCTTGGGCCTTTTGGGGGTCTTCCTCCTTGCGCCCTAAAGGCCACCTCCAGGGCAAACAGAGTTTAGGGTCTTTAGGGCCTAAGGCTTTTAGGGTTTAGGGTTCAGGGTTTAAGCCTCAAGGGCAAACGGGGTTTAGGGTTTAGGGGTTTTAGGGTTTAGGGTTCAGGGCCCTGGAGGCCACCTCAAGGGCAAACAGGCAGGCCAGAAAGGACAGGTATGCCCGAAAGCGGTAAAAGCAGCCACCATCGCCATCCCAAGCTGCTTACCCGCCAGGAATGCAACCATGAAAGGAGACTCCGATACGTTGTCTGGGAACCACATCGGGGCGAGGAAAATGCTAAGTACCGCCACAACTACATAGCTCACCCCATACGCGAACTGACCTTGTCCAATCTCAAACACAAGCAGCTCGGGACGTTCCTGCAGCCAGTCTTGGATGTACTCCTCTCTGATTTTAAAATTCTCCCGGTCGGCAAGCCAAAACATTGCGCCATAGAGGAAGCCTTTCTGATTCACGGGATGCGGATCTCCCTCAAGCTCGCAATACTTGTGGTGTCTCCGATGCGTACTTGCGAAGAAGAGCGGCGGCATGGCAATATAGCAAGGAATGGCTGCGAGCACTAGGTTCCACGCGCGTGAAGTTGAAAAGACTCGATGGGCAAAGTAGCGGTGCACGAGGTGCTCGCAGTAAATTGCTAACCCGAAGCCGGCCACGAGGAAAACTGCGCACCGCGGAGCCTCTATCCCTACGACGTGATACCACTCCGAGTCGCTGAGACGAGGCTCAAAGTAGTCGGCTCTGGTGGCGAAAAGTGTGAAGAGTCTCCTGGGTGCCTCGCAGACATAACACAAAACTGGGGCCTTACCTATAGTCTCCATTGTAGTTCCTTTTTTGGTTAACCAGTTTTATGGTTAGGATCCTATAATATAGTCTTTGGTTAACCAAAAAAAGGAACTACAATGGAGACTATAGGTAATAATTAAAGATAGTGTCTTGGGCCCATTATACTATACTTCCAATAAGGAACCCCCCCCAAGTAGTATAGGTAATTATGTAGGACCCTATATGGAATCCGTTTAGTCGCCCTTATAGTAGCCCTTAGGGACTCCTTTAAAGGAACCCGGATAGAAGGCCCGAAAGGCCCCTACATGAACGGAGGCTTTTGCTAAGTACCCCGGCCTCCACCGGAGCTACCACCAGCAAGTCGAAGATGTGGCCGAAGGGCCCATAGTTGGTGTACCGGAACCAAAGGGCTGCGCTGATCATGCCTTGGCTGACTTCTCTGCCCCCTCCTAAAAGTTCAGCGTTTTGTTGCCTCTCTTTTTTGCCTACTGTTTGACAAGTTTGTATAGAAACCCAACAAGTCAAAGTCCTAAGAGCCAACCAGAAGAACACCAAGATGCCCTGCTTGAAAGCTTCGGACCAGGAAGCGTCGTAGCAGAACAACGCCGTCCTGACGGTCCGGTTTCGGCTGACAAGACTTGTCACAATCAAAAGGGAAAAGGAGGGAACCTTAATTGGGACCCCTACCCTATAATGGGCTATACCTAGGGGTCCTTATTAAGGGTCCCTCCCTTTACCCTTGGTCACAAGGCTATGTCCAGAAGAATCTACAACAGGCCGAAGCAACTGCACTCGGCAAACTCCTAACACAAATCCAGCTTCACGTACCCTCCGGAACTCCTGCTCATTCCGCCAGAAGTGGACAGTTTCCGATAATAGGAGACCCTAAGATAGAATAGAACCCTGAAGAGTAGGATCCTTTTTTGTAAGGACCCGCAAAATACGGCACCCCTAATTTTCGGAAACTCCTAAACCCTTCCAAGCTACATCCTCTGGAATGCAAAGTATGCGGATGCATCAGCGTCTTCAATGCGATCAACCCTAAACCCCAAACTCTAAACCTTGAACCCTGCAACTTCAACCCTAAACCCTAAATCCTAAACCTTATACCCTACAGCCCTAAACCTTCAAACCCTAAAACCCACACCTTAAACCCTAAAACTTAAATCCTAAACCCTAAGCCTATAAACCATAAACCTTAAATCTTAAACCCTGTGAAGGGCCCTCGAACCCCGAAACCGGTGATGCGGTGACTCCACTTACTCCCCCAACAAGCCACAGAAGTAAAGGTTAAACTTTCCGACTCATTCCTACTAAACTATAAGAACCCAAAACTCGCTGGCCCAGAACCCAAGGAAATAAAAGTTGAAACTTTCAGAATCGACTACCTTATAAGAACCCCGAAGTTGAAAAGTTGAGTTCACAGCCAATAAGCAAAAGTTTACAGCTTAGGTATTGGGGATCTAAGTCTAGGGCAGGAGCCCACCTCAAGAAGTGACAAAGCAGCAAGGCACCAGGAAGCAAAGCGCTTGCTTAGGGTTTAGGGAGTTTATAGGAGCTGATAGGGCTTATTGGGCTTATAGGGTTTATGAGCTTTAGGGTTTATAGGAGTTTTTATGGAATTTATAAGGTAGGGCTTATAGGAGTTTTTTATGGAGCTTAAAGGGTTTATAAGGTTTAAGTTTATAGGGTTTAGGCTGGGGTTTAGGCTGTCTTTCTGGTCCAAGCTTGTCCTCGCGATGTGGGACCAGTCTGAGGCTATGCCTTGCAGCTCTTTCAAAGCCGCTGGCGTGCCACCGCCCCAGTAGCGAAGCAGCAACACCTAGGTATACCCAAGAGGAAACCTGATGAAAAAGACTACTTGGAGGTTCATGGGCAGTTATAAGTACGGTAACTAGACTTATAAACCAATTCCCGGGACTTATAACCCCACTTATAATTACCCCTGAAGCTCCAAGTAACCCCAGCTCCTACATAGGTGGTTGTCAAAATTATGGCCCCTTTTTTGGTACCCTAAATATGAAGTTCCGTACTATAATAAGGACCCAAAAAGGGGCCATAATTCTGACAACCACCCACATAGCTAAACTTGACCGGTGAGCCTCAAGACAACCGGGTAAGGGGTTTATGGCTTCCAGGGTGTAGGGGTTTAAGGTTTAGGGGGTACTCATAAGAGAGTCCCAAAGCACAACAGGGCAAAAACAAGGACCCTGAACCATCTCAGTCCAGAACTCAAACCTTCAACAACCACAACACCAACAGTGCTTAGCAATAAAAGTATTATGTAACAGTACTAGAAAAATACACCAAAAGCAGTACGAAAAATGATGGACGTACTACTTGAGATCCAGGGCACGACAACAACCGACGCCAGTCGACGGGCGAGGACTTCGTAGGCCCAGGAAGTATAATGGACCAGATCAAAGATAGTGGAAGCAAACACCTGCATGACTGCAAACGAAGCCTGAATCATTACCAGTACTATTCCTAGGGCTCCTACGATATAGTACAACAGCCCTATTCAAAGTATTCAGGCCCGTATGTTAATTGAGCAGGGTTTCGGGCTCAGGGCGTAGGGCTAAGGGCTTGGACACGACATGAAAGCGCTCCGAGTTTGCGGCCCGGGCGGTTAATGCTCTGACCCTCTAGGGTGTAGGCCGAGTTAGGAGCTATGTACAATCTTCTGGAAAAGCAGCCGAGCTGCCAGCAGCCGCACGTATAGAATCACCCTCACGCTGCAGGCCAGCATCTGCCAGCCTCGCCCCTTCATGGCGTCTGTGACGACCCAGGACATGGCACAAGCAAGTCCAGATCAGAGGCTCGAACTCTCAACCCTAAACCCTAAACCCTAAACCCTATTTAATGTGCTGAACTCTCGACTGTGAGCCCCATGAACGTTACGTGTAGTTCACGAAAGATGAGATCGATTCGCAATGTCTCATGCGATTCCGAACCTTTCAATGAGCAGTGCCGGGGGACGACATGCAGTTTGCAGCAAGGTTTTGGGTTTCGGGCTTTAGATCAGGGCTAGGGGTCAGGCTTTAGCGGCTGTTACGGTATCTTAAGGATGAAGAGATTAGACCTAGTGCCGTACATTTTGAATGGGAAACAAGTCTCAACAGAATACCGTACAAGTGCGTGTTCATGATGACCCTGGCTGGAACTTAACTCTAACCCTAGGGCTCATTGCAGGGCTCTTCCTCAAAAGCCCTGCCCTGAACTTAAACCCTAACTCGCCCTAAGCCCGAAACCTCAAATCTTCGAAGGTCTCGCGAGCAGCGGGAAGTAGTGGGCTTAAGAGTGATAGAGCGCTACCTCTAAGCTAGGGTTGGATGAGGATTTAGGGTTTCGATCGGGTTTAGGGCAGGGAGACAGCCTGCATGTTTTAGTATACGTCTACAAACTCACAGATAGGGTGGAAGGTCTGGCGAGTGGCTTCTTCAACCACGCAATGCAGACCCTAGCTTCCATTACCTGAGATAGCAGTGTGGCCCACATGGGTGGTTGTCAAAGTTAGGGTGCCCTTTTGGGTGCCCTAAATAATGGGTGCCGTATTTTAACAGGGACCCAAAAAGGGACCATAATTTTGGCAGCCACCCACATGTTGCTTGGGATGGCAGGGTGGTCCACGCACCAAGAAACTGCCCGTACAGAAACTGTTGCAACATTTTTCCGAGGGGGTGGCGGGTGGTATTTGGGATAGAAGCGGGGTTCGGGGGTATAGAACTCTACGGAATGCATACGAACGTATGTAGGGAGGCCTCATCGTCCTGGGACAGCGCCACAAGTACCTCCGCTTTCGTGTTCCAGGGTTGGGCACTACACACCTTCAGAGCTACACCTTAAGAGTTCGCCTGGTGTTCATTGTATGCTTTTCGTTTGGGGTTTAGTTTTGAGCGGCTCTCTGCGTGAGCTTAGGAGTTTGAGGAACTATTTCAGGGAGCTGATTTTGGGAGTAAGGTTTATGCGGTGTCGATTTTAAGCGTCCCCCCACATCATAGTGAGGGTTGTATATTCCACCAAAAAGAGACAGCAAACACATCACCCCAAATCGGTGGCAAGTTTACGGCTTATGAGCTTGAAGTCAGGGGCCGAAAAGCCTCAAGCATTCTTGGTTTTTGGCTTCAAAAACCCGTCAATATGGGCACCAGAGTCAGTATGGGATGTCTGGATTTAGGGTTGACAGCTGAGGGAGGGTTGAACCCTAAACCCTAAAACCCTAAACCTTAAACCCTAAACCCTAAACCTTAAGCCCTAAACCCTAAACCCTGAACCCTAAACCGTTGATGGTTTGTGGTTGCAGGATTCAACATAGGCGCCTGGACGATTGGGGCAAGGCTTTGGTTCATCAGGCTATGCCTACACCCAGACCCTCGGGAGGATCTAGAAAGGGCTGCTTTAAGGGATCCTTTAGGGTTTAGGGTTTAGGGATCTATAAGGGAAAGTAGATCCCCCAATTTCGGGGGCCCTATACGACTAAGGGGTACTTTATAGGGACCCCCATTAAGGGATCTACTTTTTGGATCCTCCCGGGGGTCTGGGCAGGTGCTTTTCTCCATTTCTCGAGGCTCCTGCTTTCGGATTAGGGTTTGGGGTTTAGGGGTTTAGGGTTTAGGGTTTTAACCCTGCGCCGCGGGTTTAGGGTTTAGGGTTTATTATAAGTAGGGTAACTATAGTTCTAACTCCTACTAGGGGACTTATCACCCTACTTATATCTGCCCATGAACCTCCAGGTACAGTGCGGTATAGTATAGTCTAGCTATGCCCACATGGACGGAATATTGCTTTGCGCACACGCTGCACTGTTTCAGGGTACCCATGCATGCCTCACACCTCGCACTTGGCAGCACCTTGAGGGATACATGTAACATCATTTAGCAAACCCTGGAACAAAGGGTAACGCTGAAAAGAACTACACGTAAGCCGTCAGGCTAAACAGAACGCCCGTTGAGGAATTCGTTGAGGATGATTAGTAATGGTCGCCGAAGCTACAATCGCCTTGCTAGCAGCCCTCTTTCCAAACTCATGATCTCGGGAAAGAGACCCATGATCTGGAAACAATCGAACGCCGAGAGGAAAGAATACCCTAAGGCTCCATGTACCTGTGTAATAGATACCTATAGGCCTTGTACCTTTATGGGGACCCCGTCTAAAGGATTAACTATAATATACAGTATAGGCACATGCAGCCTTAGTGCCTTCGGGATAGGGTGCAGGCCTTTGAGGGCTTTGGTTTTTAAAGTTGGAGGATTTGTGGTCCTCTACCACACATACATCGAATCGTTTGTTTTCTCAGATGCTGTCAAGCCTCCTGTAAGGCAGTATACCTTAACACATCCTACTTATGTGTGTGTATATGTATGTATATATATATATATAGATTCATACATGTATATCTATACATGTATGCGTATATATATATATATATATATATATATATATATATATATATTCACATATATATATATATATATATATAGCCAAAATATATAAATATGTATTATACTAAAAACATATATGTATATGTATGTGTATGTACATGCAGAGCTTAATTAACGAACAAATCCACTAGACTAGCTAGCTAACTTACTCACTGTCCGTCTCATTGGCTCACAGTCTACTAAGCAACGCGTGAATTCAAGGACATATTCTGTGATGCAAGCAAGGATGGATCGATGGACGGACTCGTATAGGTTTAGGGTTTAGGGTTTAGGGACTCGTATAGGTCGATACCTGTGTAGAATGCATGCATGCGGGCATCCTTCAGTGAACAGCTTAACCCTGAGCCCTAAACCTAGAGACAGACATGGGTAGTTGTCAGAATTATGGTCCCTTTTTGGGTACCCTAAATAATAGGTGCCGGTGCCGTATTATAATAGGGACCCAAAAAGGGACCATAATTTTGATAACCACCCACATCTTGGCACTCGCTTCTGGGCGGACCTTCATGGCCTCCGCGTTGCGCCCGAGCTCCACGAGGGCTTTGGCTTTCCTTAGGAACCCCGCTTTTGGAGCCGAGACTCTGCACCCAAGACCTTCTAAAACAGGGGCCTTACTAGTTTAGAGTTTAGGGTTTAGGGTTTAGGGTTTTGGGAGTTTTGGAGCCCATCATGCAAGGAACCCCCCAGAAATAGTACAGGTAAATATTAAGGCCTCTATAGTATCAACTTAGGATCGTTTAAAGGATGAACTCGGGACTAGGTGCTCAGTCCTTTATACAGTAGACCTTGATGCCAAGAGCCATAATGCCAAACCCTTTTTGTAGGAACCTCCCTGGTCCTTCACCGACTTCGGAAGAGGGATCCTATTCTATTTGCTGGCAACATAGACATCGTAGTCCTCCGTGACAGCCCTCCTCCCGGAAACCTACAAGCCCAAACAAGGAATTACAGACTTGCGTAATATAGGGGCCCCAATCTAGAACATCATGGGGTTTTGGAGTCTATTGATACATAATTTGTTGGGTGATATAGAAGCGGATAACGCAGTATTTAAGCCCCGAATGGTATACTATACTAGACTAGACTAAAGTTATAATAAGGAACCCCCACATTGGTATAGGTAACCATTTAAATTCAAGCTCCTATATTCAGGATGTGAGCTGCTGGGGAGCTCACCTGTAAGTTGCCTTCGCATGGCCGGGATCTTCCTTGGCTTTGGCAGGTCGGGTTTAGGGTTTAGAGGGGTTAGCGTTTAGGGTTTAGGGGTTTAGAGGTTTAGGGTTTCGTAGGGGTTTAGGGTTTAGGGCATCTCGAGAGCAGCAGAAACGATTTAAGTAGTTCTCTAAATTAGGGTACCTTTGAGGGTCCTTTTCATAAGGGTGCCGTACTAAATTGGGGACCCAAAAAGGGACCCTAACATAGAGAAGTGCCCATTTACAGATTGAAGGAAGAGGGTTTGTTACGGAAGAATCCGAGAAGCCCTAAACCCTATAAACCCCTACTAAACCCTAAACCTCTAAACCCCTAAACCTCTAAACCCCTAAACCCTAAACCCGACCTGCCAAAGCCAGGGGTGGATGATAGGTTTGAACTTCGGCCCTTCTCTGGTCAAAACATCTATACTGAACTTAGAACCCTAGCAAAAATTGAAATTTTAGCTGTTTCTTAGGGATTGTAATAACCTAAAATTTAAAAATATTTCTAAGTACCCCTAAGACATCTTCTAGAAGATCTCATGAGAACCACCAAGTCAGTAAGAACACCCTGAAGAAGCAACGTGCACTCAACATCTGTTCAGCCTAAGCCGAAGTGATAATTATCCAAGAACGTTCGAGCTCGCCGCTTCTGCGCCTCCTAAACCTCTATAAAGCCCGAAGCCGTAAAATCCTCAAGCCCTATAGCCTAAAGCCCTTAACCCAGAGCCCTAAACCCCTAAACCCCTAAACTCTGAACCCCAAACCCTAAGCCCTCAATCCTAAGCCCTAAACCCTGAGCCCAGTGGCTCGAAGTACCGATTCGGCGTCCGCGAGAGCATCCGTCCTGCAGCCGGTGAGGCTGGGTTTTTTTCCATAAACTCTACTACCCTATCTATCAACCCTATAAGCCCGTTAAGCCCTATCAAACCCCACAAACCCTAAACCAGCCGTGAAGCCCATTATTCACTATAGAATCCTGTTCTGGTAACTTAAATTCCACCAGGTGCCCAGACCCCCGGGAGGATCCAAAAAGTAGATCCCTTACGTAATGGGGGTTCCTATAAAGTACCCTATAGTATAGGGCCCCAAATTAGGGGATCTACTTTCTAGATCCTCCCTTTTGTCTGGGTTCCCGTCACCCGGCAGTCCAGTGACGC